CGCTTACTGGGTATGTAGATTGCTCCGAATAAGACCCCATCGCAAAATTTGATCTGAAAAAAAAGAAAACCAAAAGTATAACAGCTTCAAAACATGAGATAAATTGTTTGGTTTCCTTCCGCTAATTTCAGCAGCAGCACCTGCTACGCTTTTCAACTTTGAAGTTCTGGGATGCCTTAGTAAATAAGTTTTGGGATCCGGTAGGAGAGGAAGAAGAAAACATCTTCTAACCTCTTCGTTCAGAAAATTTGAAGATTTCAAGCTTTTCTCCCATTTTGAAGGTTTTGTTTGCTTTAACATATTTATTTTTTGTTGAGAGACTGTAGTTAGTAGTTTTGAAAAAAGCTTTTTGCTTCTTTTTTTATTTCTTCGTCATCAACTCGACTACTCAACAGGTCGAGTCTTAGCTAGTGAAAAAAAATTTTTCAAGCGACGTTCCCCCAACGTTTTTTGTCATTATTTCTGATGAGGTGAAACTATATTAGTAGGCTAACGAGTTTACTTAAATTAAAACTATTCATTTATTTCGACAGTGGTCAAAATGGAAGTACGAAAGCAAAATAGAATAGCAGCGTTAACAACGAAAATATGCTCCAAAAAAGCGCATCGACAATTTTTTCACGTGATAGGCGAGGTTTTGCTTTGTATATTATTCCAAAGTATCTTAACGCATAATAGAGCAGCAGTGAAATCAGCAGATAACAACGATAACAGTAACAGCGACAACACTGGCAACCCTAAAAATTTAGCCCAGAACAGATAAATGGTAGCCAAGAGAATAATAGTTCAGTAGACGAGGGTTTGCTTGAACTTACCAGGACAACATGCCGTATAAATGATCTTCCGCGAGGATGTGGGTGTTTGTGACAAAGTGCGCGACCTTTAGTAAAAGTCATTGCGAAGTGGCTGCTGATGCTTCAGCACTTCGAACTGCTTAAGACAATATTTGCTGATTATTCAAGTATACTCACCTTTAAATTATAAACCTCGTCATGGTGTCAACAAAAAATTAACAACAATTCTTCATTAGTACGCTAAGATCGATATTTGGACTTCCTCTGACCGACGATCAAAAATGTGTAGGGAACTGTGCCCGGGAATACTTGAATAAGTTTTGTTTGGAAACTCCATACTTTTTTGCAGAAGAAGAGATAAAATAATGACAGTTATACAATTGTTATTTATTTGTGCTTATTCCACCTCACCTTTACCAATAACGCTACTTTTTTACAACTTGTATTTGTGACTTGTTAACCTTTGACCTTGTAATATCGGTGTTCCGTATGCATCAACACTTTGTAAGCTTGCACTCTTCATAAGCACAATTTCAAATGCAAAAAAAAGCAATTCAACAAAACTACCTTGATTGAAGGCATCAAGTATATGCAGTTTTCAAACATTGAA